TACATTTTTTATTGTTTTTGGATATAAAGAAATGCCGAAGTTTTCAACAAGAAGAACTTCACAACAGATGACCTTGTTGCTTATATTCTTCATTCTCTTCATCTCTGGACGTGCCTCTCTATTAAATAAACATTAGTGAAGCTAAATTTTCTTTTGGATGATCCTCACTTTCCACTCCCCTAGAAGAGGATTGATGGAAATGAGGAGGGAGAGGCAAGCTAGTGGCTCGAGGATGGCGTATAGTAGTCCGATGATACCGAGTACTTAAGTTAGCTTCTATTATTATTATTATCATCTTGATCTCTGTAATTTGTTTGTAATTAATACCTTCTTTTGTTGCCCAGGGGCTGCAGGAGAAGTCTAATTTCTACGTGGTTTTCTATTTAGTGGATTGTCAATTAGGTTGTATTGTGCTTGTGATGAGTGGCGACTATCTACTTTCCTCACCCTCACAGAACTCTTCTTGACGTAAGGTCTTCTATAGGCTTAGAAATTTTGTTCTCCTATCGATTGCTTTGTATGTTTCGAAGTTTAATATACATTGGTGCTTTGCTTTATTTTTACCTCAAAAAATAAAGAAGCTAAATTGACAAATCGAAGGCACACACAAGACAATAGTAGACCACAAACCAATGCAAGCCAACCAATCACAGCACAAACACAAGATATACGTGGTTCGGCAATATGCCTACGTCCACGGGGCAAGGAGAGGGAAGCTTTACTATTCAAATCAAAGGGGAGTACAGGTTAGGGTTACAAATCTTACCCAAAACCCTCAAATAAGACCAAAAGATCTCTCAAATAGACTCCAACAATAGAAGCCCTCAAATCTCCCTTTGCTCAGCTCAAAATCGCCCAAACTCTTGCCCTAAAAACGAGTTTAGGGTATTTATACAACTCCCAAGCGAAACGGGTCTGGAAACCTGAACCAACTGAAACCCGCTTCGTCGGTCGACCGGACCGGTCGACCGCGATCAATTCCGGTCGACCGACCCGGTCGACCGACCACCTCCAGCAGAACCCCGAAAGAATCCAGAGAGCCCGTCGGTCGACCGGGCCGGTCGACCGACCTCCTTGTGCACGAATCCGGTCGACCGGACCGGTCGACCGCCACCTGTTTTTCCTGATTCTGCTGCTGATGCTGAAATTCCTTCAAGAACTAAGCTAAGGCTTTTTGTTGGAAAGTCAAATGGTCGGGCAAAGGACTAAACTGGACAAATTCAAGAAAGTCCAGCAAAATAGTAGCTAGCTAGTGAAGGTAAATTTTTTGTCTTAGTTTTTGCTTTTTTTGTTATATGTTGTGGTGTTAATGCATAAATTATCATGAGGGTAACTTTTGGGTTTTTTGCTTCTTTTTGTGGATGACACCGACTGAATTACACGTGTAGGAGTGAGCTTAACGTATGCTCATATCTTTTGCTGGATCTATGTTGCTTCTTTATGGCTAAAGAATGTTGTAGGTTCAGTGTTATATCCCCTAACCATGAATTTTTGGCAACAATGGTACAATTTGGTGAGTATATGATGGTACTATTATGAGTTTAACTGTGCATTTTAGCCAACCAGGCTACGATTTTATTTTTGGGAGTATATGCTGATATTATCATACAAATTTTTCTCTTTAAAATTTTCTCTATCCATATATATATTTGTAACTTTATTATTACTACTGTACTCATTCTCTTCAAGTTCTACAATTTAATCTTCGATGGATGCAGGAAAACAGTGGAATGAGGAAACTTCGTGCATAAGTTACACCAATTGCATCGATAATAATAACTGATATAGCAATCTTGCATCTGTGTCTCTTTTTTCTAATGGTGCTATAATGATTGTCACAGAATATGACATGCAAAGCACATTTTCTATTAACACCGTCTAGGCGAGGCGTTTTACTATTGCCATGACCAAATGAATATTTGCAGCCTGCAGTTATTAAATACAATATATGTCTTGCATATCTGATTTCTTATGACCAACCTGAGCCCATTAGAATGATCATATGTGTCTCCTTTATATAATGGTGCTATGATGATTGTCACAGAATAAGATATGCAAATCACATTTTCTATTAACACTGCTTAGGTTATGGATACGCGGCCTACAGCTATTAAATTGATAATATGTTTTGCATACCTAATTGTTTATGACCAATCTGAGCCCATCAGAATGATCACCTTCTCAGATACATATACTCATTTATTTTGGGTCCTTTTTTGGTTACCAGGATTGTGGTTTAGTTGGTTTTAATATATTGGTGTAGTTAATGATTTTTTTTTCCCCTGGCGTCAGATTTATTATCTCATTATTTTCTCTTTATTCTATTTATTGTTTATGGTGCAATGATGATACTCAATACCTAAAACTAGTAATTATCCTTGCAATGTATTAGCGAGGCAACAAATTATCATTCAGTTGAGCAAATTTTTGAGATCTGCAGCCAACATTGGGAGTGCAAGTTTACTGGTGTTACATACAATAATGTAAATGAGAAACATCTGAGCTTATACATCTCATATTACGGACTCAATTTGTGCTATATTTCAAAAGGTTTTATACATGAAAATTAATTTTCTTTAACATATGAGCGTTCTGCATTATATTTTTAAAGTACAAATTACAATGTTTGCAACAAAAAGAAAATTGCAAAAAATCACTAACATAAGAATACATATTTTTCAATTGTCAATTCGATGATTTGCAAGCTTCAGTTGTCTCTTCAAATGTTCTGTTTTCATTTCTGCTTTAACTTGAACAGAGACTTGCTCCTTTTTGTTCTTGAATTTCTTGATATCACTCTCATCATCAGCATCAGTCCAAGCAAAAAATTTGCATTGTCTGTTTGTGTATTTGGCGCAGCCCCAAAAATACCTCCCCTTGTTTATTTCGTTCTTGCACAACTTCAATGGTGTTAGAATTTTACAAAAGCAGTGCACCTTCATTACCCCCTGGGAAGAAAGTGCTGCGGACCCCTTGGAAGAAAGTGACGCAGCGCGAAAGTGATAACCTCGGAATCCACCAAGGGTGTTCTCTGATACCAATTGACGCAGCCCGGAAGTAGTAGCCTTGGAATCCACCAAGGGTGTTCTCTGAATCCACAAAGAACGATCTTCAAATCCACGAAGAACTTCGAATCCACGAAGAAAATATTGAGAAGAGAAATTTTATTGATGAAAAGTTATTCTTCTTTGGGGTTACATGACTCTCCTTAAATAGAAAAACAAATAAGACTCCTAGTAAGACTAGAATTACAAAAATAAAAAGTATCAAATAAGACTCCTAGTAAAACTAATATTACAAAAAAAAAGTGTCAAATTCTATCCTAAAAAGACTCTTTATAATAGAGGAAACAAATCATGAATCAAAATTAATTTTGTTTCCTAATCTAATTTAACTCTAAAATTAAATTTATTTCCTAATCTATATTTTCTAATCTAAATAGACTCCAACTCAGGTTAAGCGTCCTACATCAAAAAGCATATCAACAGATTTTAGTATGCTACAAGTATTGGTAACACTCAATATTGGGTTGGAGATAGTATACGATGCCACAAACCTTGTATATCCATTTTATATTTGCTATTTGACCGTTGGCTTGCTGTTTGTCACCGTCGGAATGCATTTTTATCAATTTCTAATAGGTATGGTTACCTTTATATGATAGTTCCAGGCTGTTTTGTCCTATCTGGGTGGTAACCTCACCAATGGTGACCTTATACAACATTACCCATTTTGCACTTTTACCAACCAAACAAAGGAAATTGAGGAAATCAAAATATATTGTCAGGTTTCTAGCTTTTGAAAACAATAAAAAGAGAAACCTTTTGAAAACAATAAACCAAACAATAGAAATGAAAACATGACATTTCCACCATATCCTTTCCATGCAAAACAAACACAAAAAAACCATTTGGCTGAAAACCTCAAAAATGCACCGAAGTTGTCTTTCAGCATGGTTTTCCGATTTCCCTTTTTTTTTTTTTTTTTTTTTTTTGAAACGAAACAAACAGACCCTCTGAACCTTTATATGACAAATATACATCCATGCCATAAGTTACGTTCCTGCTACGAATGTTCACAACTGTAGCAGTTCCATCATTGATCCGATTTTACCCATTAAGTCTCAAACAGGTCCATATCAAGGGTAGGCATCGCGGGTCATTATCTACCAACATTTGTCGTCAATTTCTAAACCCTATATTGGGACCATTGTCATAACACAAATTCAAATTTCTCACAACAGACTCCAGAGCAAGAAACCCTCACCGCATCCTGGTGCCAGAACCACTCGCAATTTTACTTCTCTTCAGGCATTTTATTATAATCATACTGTGACAAGGCGTAAGGGATACATACAAATAGTAGTAGTTGTGAAGCATTGATGCCTTCTTCAGAGGGGCATGGTCCAGTTCCTGAATGATTATTCTTTCATGCGAAACTAAGGCTTTATAGCAACACAAAATGGAGACGTTGAAAACCTCCAGGTGCTCCATGCAGTCCAAGATAAAAATCAATGCTTCTTTTGTCAGGGCATCACCTTCTGCATCTTCAGCAACTATTTGCAGTGGTTATCTGAAAAGTATGTGAAGTAATACTAGTCATATACCCATATAAAGGACATGATTGCTGCAAATCACTAACGGTCCCATGAAAGACCACTTGAAACAAATGAAGCTGATAGATTTAACATATATTGCCCATGCAAACCTCAACATCGTCACCACGGTGTTCATGCCTCATACTTTGTTTCCATGTAACAAAATGAGAGGACTATCTAGTTCCAACCACCAAACAATAAGTTGCCCGAAAAGGGAACAGGAAATGAACACTGTTTGCCAAACTGTTCAGTGATCCCTAGGGGTGGAAATGAACTAAATAATTAACAAATAGTTCGTTAATTGTTCGAATAAGTATTCGGTTATATTCGATTCGGTAGTTCATTTAACACTAAAAAATATTGAAAAACTTCAGATATGGATATTCAAATTCAGGTTCGAATTTGATAATTTTTAACAAATATGGATACAAACACCTGGGTATTCAATTCAATTTGATTAATTACCACCCCTAGTGATCCCTTGCTCATTTTGGTTTCTATAGTTTAAATGATAAGAAAGAAAAACGCATAGCCCTTCCTTGCATGTTAATTAATTATAGTGTTATCAATCCACGATGTACAATGCAGGGTGCAAAGTCTCTTTACATGCACATGTGCAAAGCGGAATGCTATGTGCACGCCCTAGTGAAGCTAGGAACACACCACACATAAGTTTTCAAGATACATAATGAAGCGTGAAAGAACATGTTTATGAATTTTCACATAAAAAATATGGTACAATAAATAATATCTACACCATACTACAAAATAAGATATTAAATCATAATGCTAACACATCCAACATAGTAGTAAAGTTCATAATTTTCCAAATCAAAAGTCAAATCAAGACTAATATTTAAAAAAATTCAAATTATAAATGAGGACAAGTTAGGATCCTCAATCGAGCTACTAAAATGTCCTAATGGGTTTATTTTCCTTTACGGAATATGACTTATTCGGTATAAAGTCCCAATTGAAATATTAAAAAACAAAAATATATGTGCCATGTGTTACATGTGCCCTGTGCAAATCTCTCCTGCAAGACAATTTCAGGCGCAAAAAGGCACTACTGCCTCCTATGCGGGGCGCCTAGTCACAAGGCGCATGAGACGCAATGAAGTGCGCGCCTTTGAAAACACTAACTCACTATAAAGAGTTGTCGATCCTGAGAGAGGTTCGACAAGAAAGGGGAAATATTTATATGAAAACCTTGACGACCAAATCATATGGTACCGAGACAGATATCATCAGAAAAGTGAGAAAAATACTACAGAGATCCTTATAAAGGGCTTCTACGACTTGGCTCCAACATAGATCATATTTACTAAAAGCCAACACATGCTCATAAAAATGAAGAAAATGGGTAAAATACTCTCCTCAATAATGAACTTCCAGGACTTGACAAAAAATAGGTCCCATGCAAGCCACTAAAGATGTTAACAGATTATAAATAATCAAAAGAAAAGGACAAGAAAACAACTACTAAAAAGAAACGAAATAGAAGCATGTATTTAATTTTAGTCAACAAAAGCAATCCTCGCTATGCTAAAAACACCTTTTTTTCACGCATAACCCACTCAATCTGAATGGATACGAAAACAATACATAACTTAGCAAATATTACCGGAACTTTACAGAAACTTCAATTGAGATTTAGCAATGTACTTGCAGATGTATTTAAATGCAGAAGCAAATTGGTATCCGGAATGGGATGCATGCGTATAACAGAGCTAATCAATAAGAACATCACATGTATCTACATAGCCAGCAAGTACATATCAAACACATCCACAAACACACAAAAATTATAAGCAATCATACATGAACAGGGAGAGCAGTTTATAAGCAAAAGAATGAACCATGGCTTGGAATTAAGATTATGGAATAAAATGCAATTAATTGACTGGAATGTCTTGTAAAACATGTCCTTAGAAATCAAGCCAATGAAAATAATGCAAAAAAAAAAAATCAAACATGGTTAATGAATGGAGAAATAAATAAATAAAGAGCAGTAGGTTAATGGCAGTTATGTATTGCAGATTTATACAGCTTAGCAGGATGGTAGTCACTCCAACTTTCTTTCAATCTCCATTAGATATGCATTGATAAACTTTAATGCAAACGCAAATGATTATAGGCCTTCAAACTTTTACGCTGAGAAAGATTACCAAATTTATCAAATAGTATACCTCTAAATATGTTTCTGATGCCCTCATCAATTCAGGCCCTGTACTTTGACTTCAGTCGCAGACTTATTAACCACACATACGATATGCCATAGACCTATCATACTCCAGCCAGAAGCCACCAGTTTACACCCGCAGAAATACAGTTTTGTGAATACTGTGGCGTAAGTTGTGCTGCAAACAATAAAAATCCAGAAAAATTAACTAAACATAGGAAATTCCACTAGTAGCAGGAGAATTAAATATTTCCATTTTGCAAGGATCAGAGCTAGTAAAATCAGTCTTATGTTCACTTTGATTATGATGTGAATTGACTAAACCATATTGTTGATTATAGCTTAGGTTAAATCGTATTGTTGACTCTAGCCACCTTTAATGACCAAAAACAACTTTGTGTATCACATGTCAACACACATATATAGCTTACTAATCATGTCCGACGCATGGTGCAGAAGCACCTAAAAAGTTCATACAGACCAGAATCAAGACAGCAGATGCTACTACAGAAAAGTGAAGCTAATCATAAGGGTATCTTTTTTCAAACTAAAGAAGTCTGCCTGCGGAGATTTTGACAAAAAATTTGCCGTACACTGCATAGAAAATATATGTAGCAACTATATAAAGAGTATCTCCATTGTATATAAAATGTGCATCGTGTGACCAACTAAATTGAAAAGTGCATACAATTCCAATGAAGACCAGATCTAGGTATTAAGTTTAACTGAAAATAAATTCCAATATCAAAATGGAACAAGTGAAGGAAGCAGTTGTCTATTAAAGCTACGGAAGAGTAGCATCACCAACGATGTTGCTAGTGGTATAAGAAACTTTATAGCATCTATTGCACCCATATCCTTAATTCCTCACTGTCTTAAAATTAATAACTTTTAGCAAACACCCATTTTATCCTTCGTAATTTTAGGTCCAGCAAAGCTCTGGTTCAGAACAATAAATAGACGTGATCCAGCAAACGCTTTGCTTCACAATAATATCTGGTCTTTTGTTAAAGCATAAGGAAACATCAACCTGAATAGCTAAACCTCTTAAACGTTCAACATTTTAACTGGTAAAGACAAGCCAAAGATTAGAACACCAAGCATAACAATCAAAAGGAGTAGTCACCCAGTGATCAAGCAAAGTATTCCACTAACCTCATTGCCAAAAGGAGGGCATAAATTGACAAATAATAATTAGGACACCTACCGATAGCGAAAGCACATGAAGTTCATATTAGGTACACAGACCAGATTCTCTGATAGGGAAGTTTGAAACTATTCAGAAGGTTATCCAGTAAGAGGTCTCTGTGAGAAGGTCTGCTTTGTTAAATAGACATCTGTATGCCTAAAAGCACCTGAAGCTCACATAAGTACGGAGCCAAATTTACTGATGCTACCTAGGAAGCTTTGAAGCAAGACAAATGACTTTCAAGTGAGAGCTCTGCCGGAAATGGTTAGCTTTATTAGATAGAAATTTGTATGACATTCACATGCATATGAACAAAACGAATTAACTATAGCAATATGAAAACATTCAGCCGTCACTGTGAACTATACAAAATTTGAAAGCACTATAAGAAAACAGAACAGTAGAATTGAAGGAAACATCTAAGATCCATTTTAAACAAGTAAATTATAGATCTCATAAGCTTTGACCATCAAATTTATCTAACATGAACATCTTCTTGTTCAATTCAACTCCACATGTTTCTTTTCAGGAATATTGTGCAAATAAAAATACAGCAGATAAACCTAGGGTTTTTCATGAACCCTATCTTATCACTTAATATTACATATCTCGCACATTTCATAGAAAAAATCAAAAAGTACATAAGAGTTATGAACTAGTCGATATGCTCTATCAATAAAAAGCTGGATCCTGAATAGATAACTGGAGACATGATAGTTTACAGAAAACTGATAGTTGATTAGTGCACGTCATGTAAGCTTAATTATTGTCAAAAGTTATCAATAAGTTAGTAGTCATGAGATTGAATTGTATTAAAACATGTGTTATAATAAGATAAATGCACCGACAGAAGCTTTGTATATCCTTTCTTGTCCCCTTTTTCATATATTTACACACAAAAATAGATGAGACCAATATAAAGGGGACACACCACTAACATTATTGGGGAAAGTGGATAATACCTATGCCTGAACCCAGCAGCAAGGATGGATTCCACGAACTTTGAATTTCGATTGAGAGCCAAACTTCAATATGCCCTTAAATATGTTCATTTCATACTCCTTTCATGCACATATTGATACCAAGACGACCCTTTTTGAAGATCATACACTGCAATGCAAACAACTGAGTGATATCATTTTATACTCCTTTTATGCGTATTGATACTAAGCAGACCCCTTTTGAAAATCATACACTGCAATGCAAACAACTGAGTGATATCATTTTTGTAGTGATAAGCACTACAGAAAGTAGCAACTAGTTCCAAATCCGGTGAAATACCGGCTAGTAACATCTTATTCAAAAATATCATTGCTTCATTTGTGAAATGTCTCTTGCACAGACGATTGATTACTGCACTGTAATCTTCAATCGAAACCTCAAACCCCTTTGTCACCATCATCTCAAAGAGGGTTATAGCTTCCTGAGGCTTTCCTTTTACACAATATGCTTTAATTATGGTGTTGTATGCAAACTTTCTCAACTTAACACCCTTGTCCAATAGGGCTTTCAGAAGCCTTTCAGCCCAGTATGTATGGCCATTGTGGCAAAGAACATTTATGAGGAAGTTATATGTAACAGGAGTAGGTGTAAGATTTTGTTGCAACATTTCGTTGTGTATGCGGAAAGCCATTTTCCTATTTTGTGCTTCACAGAATCCTTGTATAAGTGTATTATATGTGATCACATCTACGCCTATACCCTTCATATGCATATCTTTGAGGATATCAATAGCCCCTTGCAGCCTACGTTGCTTGCACAAACCTTTCATAACTATACTATATATGATGACATTAGGCATAATTGCTTTACCAACCATTTCATCGAATAATTGAAGCATAGAAGCAACATCCCCAGCTCCACAAAAAGCATCCATAAGAGTACTGTATGTCACTACAGTAGGAACCAATCCATTAAGCTCAATGGTCTTCTTAAAGTTAAGTGCCTCATTTAGCTTTCCTGTCTTGCAAAAACCAAGAATGAGGGTATTATAAGTGATGATGGTGGGGATTATTCCTCCCGTAAGCATCTTTTCATATAATTCCAAAGCAGCGCTAACATTGCCCAGTTTTACATACCCATGAAGCACCATGTTATACAAAATAACATCCACTGACTGAAAGCTGTTGGTTAATGTATCCAAGATACACCTAGCTTCAACCACCATTCCTTTCTTACACAAACTTGAAAGAATAGCCCCATATCCAAAAGAGTTGAGCAGCACTATTTTAGAGCACATCATATTGCAGATTTGAAGTGCTCTATCAATTTCTCCTAGCTTGCAGTACCCGTGAATGAGGGTAGAATATGCTACTATGTCCATATCCAAACCAATAGCTTTCATCTCCTCAAGAATCTTGTCTACATCACAAATTCTTCCCTGCTTACTTAGACCATTTAAGAGCACACTGTAAGTAATAACATTTAATTGAAATCCCCGCTCAAGCATCTCTTTCTTTATTTTCATTCCAACATCAACCCTGCCGCTTTCACAATGCCCGCAAATGAGTATGGTATAAGTAACAAGATCGGGATCCAGACCCTTTAAGATCATTTCATGAATGAGTTTCCAAACCCAGCTCATAAGCCCGAGTAGACGAAACCCATTTATGAGAATATTGTATGTCACCACATCAAGCTTCATTCCCTCCCTTTCCATATCCTCACACAACTCCAGGGCTTCCTCCATACGACCTACTACACATAGCCCATGTAGAAGACTACCGTAACTAAATCTATCGGGAACACAGCCATATTTAAACATCATCGCAACAAATGACTTTGCAACATCCACCGATCCAGCATTACTAAACCCAGATATTAGGGTATTAAAAATGACTGTACAAAGTGTTAGTTCTTTCCTTGACCTCATCTCTTGGAAGCAAGACATTGCCTCCCCCAACCTCTTCTGCTTACACAAACCATCAATGAAAATATTATGTGTATACTCACTACAAGAAACCCCGCTAGCTCTGATTCCTTTGTAAAGATCAGAAACCACATCAGCAGTCCTTATATTATACATCAAACTGTCATAAGTTGATATCGAGGCTTGTATATTCAAACTATCCATTTGACTAAGGACATAAAGAGCATCATAGATCATTTCGGACCGAGCATAAACATTTGCCAACATATCCCACACAATCCAGTCGCAATCAAAATCCCTGAAATTATTCAATAGTAGTCCACACAGAGAAGTTGCGGAACCAGACCCTACATTAAATAAAAACGACCATTCTAATCAACAAAAAAATCAAAGCACCCATATAATTTGTTCAAATTTACCTTCTTTGTCGATCAACTGCTTCAAAATCCGTCGAACTTCTTTCAGCTTCCCCACTTTTGCCAAGCAATGGCAAGCCACCAAGGTAGAAACCCTAGAATCCTCAGACTCTTTACAGCTATCGTCCTTTCCTCTAATTCTATCGCTAGGGATCTCATTGAGGATGGAGAGGTGAGAGTTCGAATTGATTGGGAGCTCATTGTGAAAATCGAAGAAGGCGACTTCAGCGATGTCGGCGGAAGAAGAGAACTTGGGGAATCGGAGTAAAGATCGCAGCTTTGATCGAGCGAGGCGTCGAAGCATCGAAGAGCTAGGTCTCGAAACATGGAGAATGAATGAATGCGATAAAACCCTAAACCTTCAGGCTGAGGTTTTGGAGAGCGATAGAGATGCTGAGACGCGGATTCGGGTCGGATAGCCAACCAATTAGAACCAGCGCGGTTCCATAGTCCTCACAATTTCTTTCTTTTATTTTATTTTCTTTTTTCTTTTTCTTTTCAATAGCGGAATAGCATTTCATTCAATTAGGGGGTGTTTGTTTCAATTTTTTTTTGGGATATAGGGTGGATTTTAAGTTTTGGGATGTAAAAAGTACTTTTTTTGAGCTTTGGTATTCCTTAAACTTTGTTTGTTTCACTTTTTTTTTGGGATATTGAATCCCTAAATTATAAAAAAAATAATATATTTTTAGGATTTGTGAAATCATCTCTTTTGTTTCAACTTCTTTTTGGGATATAAGGTGGATTACAAGTTTTTTGGGTTTTAGAATTCTCTTTTGTTTCAACTTCTTTTTGGGATATAAGGTGGATTACAAGTTTTTTGGGTTTTAGAATTCCATAACCATATTTGTTTCAAAACCAATTTTAGGATATTGAATCCCCAAATAATAAAAAACTATTATATTTTAGAATTTGTGAAATCCTACAATTGAGAGAGGATGTAGGTTGGATATTGATGTATTAATGCTTATAATATAAGATTAATATAAGATTAATATATTAAATATAATATTATAATAATATAATATTTAATATAATACATCTATTCCTCTATAATTATAGGAGGACCCAAGAATCACTGTTCATGCTTTAGTAAATGCTGCAGTAAATTACTGTAGCATTATATATATAAAATATATTATATTATATAATAAATAATATATATATATATATTATATATTATATCTATAATATAATAATATATATATATATAATATTATATATATAATATATAATATATATAGGAGGACCCAATAATCACTGTTCATGCTGTAGTATTCCAAATCCCAAAATATTATATAATATTATAATAATATATGTTATTAAAATATTATATAATATTATATATTATATAAATTATATCTATAATATATATAATATATATATATATAATATTATATATATAATATATAATATATATAGGAGGACCCAATAATCACTGTTCATGCTGTAGTATTCCAAATCCCAAAATATTATATAATATTATAATAATATATGTTATTAAAATATTATATAATATTATAATATATAATTTATAGTATTCCAAATCCCAAAATATTGATGAAACAAACAAAATATTACAAATTATAGTATTCCAAATCCCAAAATATTGATGAAACAAACAAAATATTACAAATTTTGGTATTCCAAATCCCAAAATATTGATGAAACAAACAAAATTTTAGAGATCCCAAAACATGTAAAAAAATTTATGGATTTCAAATTCTATGGTGAAATCCATATCCATAAATTTTGGGATACAAAACAAACACCCCCTTAGACAGAACAAGATAAATCATGAAGTACAACGGTTTGCAAGTATAGAGGAACACAATCTCTTCGTACTTGGTTTTACCTGGTTCTAGCTCCTAACTGAGCAAGAGAATGAGCGATAGCATTTCCTTCTTTTCTCGTATGAGTGAAAATCTTGAGCTAACATGTTAATATCATCAACAATATGTGCAAATGGAGCTCAAGCGCAATTATTCATCTGCATGGCTGTGGTAACTAATGAACTATCTGATTCAACTTCGACTATCCTAAAGCCTTCATCAATAGCTAACTATACGACTTGTTCAGTAACCTTTAATTCACAAATGATTAGATAAAGCAATTGCTCAATGGGATGAGAAATCACCTTCATTACAAACTTCTTTACTGTCTCGAATCACCTATCCAATAACAGCAGACCCGAGATGAGGATTACACTCAGCATCACAATGAACTTTCACTCGCCCACTCTTAGGCTGATTCCATGCATAAGCAGTTATTCCTTGGCTAGCTTGCATACTTGATGAACCTCGGCAAGATAATCCAAAGCTCTTGAAACAATGAAATTAGCATCCTACACTTTATTTTCCAAACACCTTTGCACTTTGCGATTTAACCACAAAAACTATGACATAACTATCGCATTTTTCTAGACCATCCAGCCCATAACATTCTAGGACCAAACTCCACCATTGTCTCACCAAATTAGTAACGTTTTGCAAATGAAATAACACTGGGAAACAATATTGCCATACCTGAACAATGACGGGGAAAAAATTAGAGGAAATGGTCCTTTGTTTCTAGCTCGGAATCACATAAAGGACGACTAGCATCAATGCTAATATGACGATGCAACAAAGAATTTTTTGTTGCAACAATATCTCTACCTTCTTTCCACCCAAAAGCACACTTTTTGGTATTTTACATGCTCAAAGACTCTAATATTTTTCACTAACCCTCCTACAATAATATCATCTTTATTATAAAGAATCTTATAAGCTAAGTAGTACGCGCTTCTCACAGTAAAAGAACCATTTTTCTCCTCCTTCCAAATAATTTTATCTTGATTTGAATGTCATGTAAGAAGAATGTCTAAAATTGTCGTAGTTTCATGAGGAGAAAAAAATACTTCTAATAAGATGAGAATCTCATCTACCATCCAAGGAAAGGAAATCATATACCCACCAAACTCCACTAATCTCGGAAGAAGAGACTCGAAAATTAGGAAGAGAAGGAATTCATTTATCATCACAAATCCTAATCATGGCTCCATTGTCTATTCTCCATACCCAACCCAAATCTAACACCTCTTTTCCAGCCAAAGGTGCTCTACCAAACATCCGAAGGCTTATTGCCCAAAGTAGCATCCACAAAGGAAGAGTTAAGGTGATACTTGGAGCTAAAAACTCTACATAACAAAAAATCCTTATGTTGAAGGACCGCCAACCTTGCTTAGCCAATAGAGTTTTTTTAGCCAATAGAGCTAAATTAAAAGCCCTCATATCATGAAATCCCATGCCGCCATGATCTTTAGCCAAATAAAAAGAGTCCCAAAACAACCAATGCAATTTTCTCTCATCATTCTTCTGATCCCACCAAAATTGTCGGATTAGTTCCTCAATATCGCTACAAAAAGAATCTAGTAGGAGAAAAATACTCATGTTATATGTAGGAATGACCTGCGCTACACACTTAATTAAAATTTCTTTGCCTACCCTCGACAAGCATTTCTCGATCGCACCCTTCCCAGGATAGGGATGGACATTTCCTTCTTTGAACGACTTACCATCAAGAAAATGTTAGATTTAAATATAATTAAATCTATTTATGGGCACATGTGATTAATCTGTGTGTATTGCTATCCTTCAGGATAACCCACTAAAGTGATCAATTAATTTGGGTTAATGGGTATTTAAATAAGTCATGGGGTTATTGTTGGATTTAATCTAATAAATCTATTTGTGGGCACATATGATTAATCAATGTGTATTGCTATCTTTCAGGATAACCCACTAAAATGATCAATTAATTTGGCTTAATGAGTGTTTAAATAAGTCATGGGGTTATATGTGCAGATACCAGGTTGTAACTGTAATTTGATGATGGGCCAAATTACAAATGTACAACACCTATATATATGGGGTTATGGTCCCTATCTAGGGTTAGCCACTCTCATTCTCTTATCCCCATCTAAAGAGATCCATAAGAGAGAAACCCTAAGGTTAGAAGATCATCAAAACCCTAATCAAGTTTTCTTCAATGGATTCAGGTATATGCTTCCGCACCTTTTGATTCTCGTTAATCTCTTTGAATTAAATCATGCCTTTATGGTTTAGATCTCAAGTTTTATTATTCAGATCTAACAAGTGGTATCAGAGCCACCATTGATTTGTTCTAAGAGATTAAGATTAAAATTAGGGTTCTTTGATCTTAATTTGTGTTTGATTCAGATCTGTTCACGGATAAACAGTAAAGTTTTTTATTTTCGGGTGAACAGTAAAAAATTATTTTTGGATGAACAGTAAAGGTTTTTATTTTCGGATGAATAGTAAAATTTCCTGTTTGTTTGGCTTTTTCTTTCGATTTTTGGATCTGTAACAATTATGAACTCTAAAGTTTATTTTTTGTATTTGATTCAATTTTTAAGATTTGGATCTAAATGATTTGAGTTCAAAAATCGACAGAAAAATAATTATCTTTTTTTGGGGTTTTTTTGATCTGTCGTCAATCTCCAAAACTCCTCGTCGGAGTTGATTCAGCGGCGGCGGTTTCAGATTAAACCCTCAAGGGGTTCGTGCGCGTGAAAACGTGCGGAAATTAAGGAGGTGGTTACCTCAATTTTTGGCGAGGCTTGAAAGCTTCAGACGAACCTTGCGTTCGATCTCAAACGAAACTCACGTTCGTTCTCGGGCGAGCCTCGTGCTCGATTCAGACGAACATTGTGTTCGTGCTCAAGTTGAACATTGCGTTCATTCTAAGGTCGAACATCGCGTTCATTTTCAGACGAACATTGCGTTCGTGCTCAAGTTGAACATTGCGTTCATTCTCAGGTCGAACCTCGCGTTCGTTTTCAAACGAACATTGCGTTCGTTCTCAAGTCGAACCTTGCGTTCATTTTCAAAATGAACCTTGCGTTCGTTCTCAAGTTGAACATCAAGTTCATTTTCAGACGAACCTCGCGTTCATGCTTAGGTGAGTCTCGTACTCAATACAGACGAACCTCGCGTTCAAAGTCAAGCGAACTTCGTGTTCACTATGGTTAAGTCTCGGCTTCTCATATTAAATTATGGGTCCACTTTGGTATACTTAATTTATTCAATTAAGTTATGGGTCCTATTTAAGCTATGAAAATTTAAATTAATTTAACTTAAATTTAATTTGGTTTTTAATCAATTATTTAATTTAAATATTATGATACTAAGTTATTAAGGTTATCTCTCACTCCAATTGATTAATTGAAACAAGAAGTTGCCAAAGTAACCTCTCTTGTGTAGATTGTTCATGAGGAATGTGAGATGTTTGTGTGTATGCTTTCGTGTAAATATTTAATCGGCCCAAAGGAAGATTAATATTTATTTAGACTGTATACACATCTGCGATGATAAGCGTGTGACAATTATAAGGTTTACATG